GAGGGGGAAGAGGGGGAAGAGGGGGAAGAGGCGCTGGGAGGAAGCACCGCGAGTTGCCCTCCCTAGGAAACATCAAGTGGTGCTCGGAGGTAGGAGCCAGCGGCTGAGCTGCAAGCTCCACACCGCTGCGGGAAAAAAAAATTTGGGGTAGAAAAATATCACCGTGCAGAGACCATACTGCACGGGTGTTACCTGCTGCAGCTTATTCTGGCTACCGACAGCCAACCCGCCAAAAAAAAAAAGGAATATGTGGACAACCAATTGCCAAGCCCCCTGCTCTCAGGTGGGCCTGAGCCAGTCTATGGTGGGGAAAGGTGGCCCAAAGACTACGACAGGACAGGGCTGGTGTCCCAAGCAGCGCAGCCTCACAGGCAGTGCAGTGGTGAAGTTGATACAGAAAATGGCATCGGCTTACGGGAGTTAAGGGCAAACGGCTCAGGGAGCCAACAACCTCAAAGAGCATCTTTACGGCACCAGAAGCCATCGCAGATCTAGCAGTGGGACCGCGTTCAACAGTGTATCTCTGTCTCTTCCCGTAATGAGCACAGTCGGGTCAAAGCATTGACAAAACGTAGAGCAGATCCTTGTGAAGAGAATTCAACAAACCTGCATGAAATCACCCTACCTGGAGGCCTGAATTTAGCTTTACCACCCCGGTGAAGGACAGGGATTGCCTCCGGTTTTCAGTGCGGATCTAGGGAGATCAGAAAAGCGAAGATGCTAAAACCAGCAGCTCACATATTGATTTTTTTTTTTTTTTAAATCCACGTAGGCAAGACATCCCACCCCCGAAGCTCCCATCCCTGTAAGAGGGAAGGCACAGAGCCCAAACCTCTGCTCAGTGGCTGTATCTAAATCTTATTTTTCAAAATTCCTAATTTCTAAATTGCTCCTTACGGATGAATCCCGTCACTGCTGATGCCGCACCCATTCAGGGGACACCGCTGGCTCCAGGGTTGGTTGCTCTTGCTGCAGATAATGATGGGTGTCAAGGAGAAGGGGTGCAGAAGATCTGAACATGTATTTAGGCATAGAGCAGTCATGCTTACCCTGTCCCGCTTGCTGAGCCACCTCTTCCTTCCTCCACAGAGTACACTCCTGCTACTGCGAGACAGCCCAGAGACGCAGCAAAGGTAACACCTTGTGAACGCAGACCCCAAGGTCCTGCTGGCCTTACAAGTCTGCACTTATTGCACGCTGAAAGCTGCTGGCGTGCCCGGCAAGCACCATGGCCCTGGAAGTGTTCAGGTTTTCGTCCTCCAGGACAATAACGACAGAGCTAGGGGCCAGCAGGTCATCAAGACCTAACCAGGTGACTTTTTGGGAGGTCCCCTCCAGGTCCACTCCCCAGTGGACCCAGGGCTGTCAGCAGAGCCCTTGTACGACTCACCGTGGTTGACCTGTGGCACTTGAGAAGGGAGAAATAGGAGACAGCTCGGCTGCAATGCACACGCTCCTGGGCAGGGTCTGCGCATCAGAAGGTGACACTGGGGAAAGAGACGGAAAAACAGGACGATCCCAACTGAAAAGAAGAATGAGGGGGTTGGAGGGTGGACGCACCTCAAATTTGGTCACCCGAAAGCCACAGCTGGGTTGCTAAGTGCCTAATCCATTACCACACTCTCTCCTGGGAGAAGCCCAGGGCTGCCAACCTGCCACAGGTCCAGCCATAGCTCAGGCAGCACGGCTGCCGACCTGCCCCGACCACACACCGAAGGCTGCGCGCGCTGGCAGGGATGTCTCCCTCACCAGCAGCCAGCCGATGCCCCGCAGCTCAGATTTGACTTGGGCAACCGCAGTTTCCACGTGCCGGTCCCTCTCCCTGCCCTCGCCAAGCCACGCGAGCTCTGACATCCAGTTTACCGCCCGCAGGAGGCCGAAGCTGCCGCCTCCAGCCCCCATGTCCTCAAGGTGCATTACAAATACACGGTCGCCCTGCAAGTCGAGCCAGGTCTCTCCTACACGGAGCTCCTGGACCTGGTCTGCAAGAAACTGGAGCTGCAGCCCGAGCACACAAAGCTGAGGTGAGGTGCTGCCCGCTGCAGGGAGCTAGAGCCACTTTTCAGGGCTCCCACCCCTACCCCGCGTCCTCTGCGCACCCAGGTACAAGCCCGCGGAGAGCCAAGCGCTGGTGCCTCTGCGCACGGAGAACCTGGAGGCGGCTTGGAGCCAGAGCAAGGACAACTGTCTGACGGTCTGGTGTGACGTCACGGAGGTCAGTGACAGCTAACGGTGGCAGCCACCGCTTCTGCCTGCTCCTGGCAAGGAACCTAAGCAGACGTTGCCCTTGCTTTCCTTGCCACGGGCGCAGGCTTGTGGCTGTCAAAGCAAGCCAGCCGACCTCTTGAAAGGCAGAGGAGCAAAGAGTGGGCAAAGAGAAGCAGAGCTTGTCTCTCTTACCCTGGTGTGCAGAGAAAAAGGCGATGACAAAAAGTGTCCTTACCAGCTTATTTCCTGCCCTAGGGAGAGGGGTTTTCACCCGACAGCAAACTAGAGGAGTCACCACAGGAGGCAACGCTGGAGGAGACAGGACCAACCCAAGTTGTAGCGCAGTACAATTACGAAGCCACCCAGCCTGAAGACCTGGAGTTTCAGGCAGGAGACGTGATACTTGTTTTATCCAAAGGTAATCTTGCTCCTTCTGCAACAGGGGAAGGGAGGGACACTGCAGGTTCCCCACATCTGCCAGGTAGGCCAAAACGTCTCAGGTATTTGGTCAGGCACCGGATGCCTGTTCTTCAGTGGAGCCTACAAGCTTCACTAGGGACTTTGATCTCTTTTCCCGAATCCTCCAGTCCTCCAAAGCAAACCGTTTCGTGCTGGGGACCTGCAGAGCAACAGCCTGGCTCAGGCAGCCCTCCCCGATGGCAAATTTCTCCTGCAAGTTGCAGTTTTGCCACCTTTAGATGGAGCACAGGCTGCTCAGATTCCTGCCGCAGGGCGCTCTGAGGAAGCCTGCATTGAATGCAAGCACTTCACAAGACCGGTTAGAACAGCAGCTTGCAGAGGTTGCGTGAGCAGGGGGTGGCAGCTGGAAGCCAGGGGAAAGGACAACCTAAGGACACGTACAAGATTTGCTTTCCTTTGCGTCGCTAAGAGCTGTGTCACCAAGCAAAAAAATAAATCCAACCTACTGAGGCATCTCTAGCATCTGCTTTGCATGCTCTTTTACCAGCCAGTTCTCTGGAGCCATAAGACCAGCAGGACCCAAAGCCTGCAAGACTGCTTCCTGCAAGTGCCGCCTTCTGCCGCAACTGCCTCATGTGTGGCAGAGCTCTGCCAGCTCCACCATGGGCTTCCCGCCCAAGCCTCAGCGCTCCGCACACTTCTTCCAACGTTATTTTCATCACAGCCCTGTTTCTACCACTCCCTTTCCCCAAATGCTTTCAACACGGGAGAGTTTCACTTGAGCTGTGTTTAAGGTTACTGATCGCAGTCTATTTCTTAAAGGAGGTGCCTCATTTTGGCCGCCACGTCATGCCTTACATTAGGAGCGAAGGCAGAGTTACATCTCAGAATGCTACTTCCCCCATTCCTCTCACCTGGCACCTTCTTCTGGCTGGTTTTCTTTTTAAGGCTACCATCTTCCATCAGCCTCGATCCTCTTAAATATTAATCTTTAGTGCTTCCGTGAGAATTGAGGCTTAAATACAGACTAAATCTCAGCAAGATCTAGTAGGTGTTTTTGAGTTGGATCCTTCCAAGCCTGTGCAGAACACACAGCAGGGAGGACAAAGTTGCTGTGCTTCAGCAAAAGCCGGTGGTGAGCCCATATGAAGTGAAGAATTACGTACAGACCCCGTACAGGGCAGCCTCCAAGTCAAATCAAGACATCAGAAATAGCTTTAAAGGCAAAAAAATGATGATACTTTGCTATGTGTAGCTCTTTCGCTAGTTTGCGCTGGCGGGCAGGCTTCATAGTTCCCACTCTGCTGCTGGACAGGTGAGTTCTTGCACCATACAACATTGATGACCCCTCCCACCCCAAAATCCTACTCTCCCTTTCACCACTGAGCTAAATATTTCCCATTAAGAAGTTGGTTCTCACCTCATTGGGTTCCCCACAGCAGGAGTTTTCAGAGCTCCCAAGCGTTCCTCAGCCCAGGCTAGCAGAGGCTTTTGGGTGTAGTGGGGTGGTTTTGGTACAAACATGAAACAGCAGGTGAAAATACGCTGTAGGTGGCATCTTGAAGAGGACAGCCCAAGGTCTCAGATCATCTCCTTGCTCTCCACCGCTCACTTTGTTTCCACTGTCTTGTATCCAAGGCAGTTTGAGCCCCTTGGTCTCTCTTTGATCTACTTTTCCCACCTTCGTTTGGCAGCGCGTTCTTTGCTCTCTCTCTCATTCTCCCTCAGCCCCTTTCCTCCACATTCCTCTCTCTACCAGATTTATCAGCAGAAAACCTTAAAACGCTGACCTCGGGCCTGTCTGTAGCACATGGAGGTTATTATGCTCCTGTATATCCCTAGGGTGACAAAAATTGTGTCCATTTTATCTTCCAGTGAATGAAGACTGGTTAGAAGGCCAGTGCAACGGCAAGATTGGCATCTTCCCATCCGCTTTCGTTCAGAAGTCTAACACGGAAGACCCGGAGATGTGATTTCAGAAGAGCTTAAGGAATCGTGGAAAGAAATTCACAATTCAACTGTTGCAATTAAAAAGTTTCCATATCAATCGCTGCATCTGACAATGGACTTAAAATATTATTGCTACTTGTATTAAAAGCTTTATTTTTGAGAGGACAATGCAAAAGGTTCAATTAAAAAAAAAAAAAAACCACAAACAAAACAAACCCCGTGCTTACCAAGAGACTTGCTCTGTCCCACCTGCCCTATCCTTACCAAAGCTTTTATACAGCCCTGCTGGCAGTGGGAAAAGCCACGGGAGGGTAGAGCCACCTGCATTTACAGCCCTGCCAACAGCTCCAGAAGAGGAACTGGCCTTCAGGAAGCTACAGATGGGAAATGCTGAACAGCATTTGCTTCCCTAAAACATCACTGCCACCCCCAAGAGCTTAAGAGCCACCGTGCAGCCTCACCCTGCTCCAGTTGACAATTCAGTTCGAAGTGACTTTAAACGCCCCCACCAATAAAAACATTTTTGTCACCTTCGGGAGCCGTATCTCACAGCTTTATCTCAGCAGTCAGAAGAACGAACACAGAAAGACACTGCCTGGAATCTCAGCAGGTCATACAGCAGCGAAGTCGTTCCCTGTGTAAAAGCCTGCACAACTTTGATGCCCTGTTCCCTACCCAATACAAGGCTTGCCTCCCTCTGCCCTCGGCGCTGCTTTCACACCATTTCGCCTTCCCTGGCCACGGACATCTGCTCCTCCTGCCATTTTAAAAAATATCTACACTGCTCCGTCCTCAAAACATACAAGCTGCAGGTACAGCCGGGCACCTGCAGCACTGGGAGCACTTTGCTTCTAAGAGCGGCAGTTTCCCAATCCGGATCCTATCACGTAAGTTTTGGAGAACCACACCCTCCCAATAACCTAAATCTCATTTATATTTAAAGGAACTTATCCTGAAGAGTTGTTGTTTGGATACAACAAACACTTGTTATTTAAAAAAACAGAGCATCTCCGTAGTTTTCTTTGACACATTTGGAAGCACACTGTTTAGAAACCGGCTGCAAACAGCCCAGCATCTCAATTTACAGGCGGCTCAACAGAGCAGAAGGATCTGTCTCCTCCAGCTCTCATTGCCTGTGCTCTACCAGGTTCAAGTACTCCAATCTGCAGCTGAATCCTGTCCCAGATTTTTGGTTCAGTACGTAAAACGCATTGCACACAGGCAGCACAAAACCACGATCCAATTATCTGCACTGAGCCCAAGCCAGAATCTCTGCTATTTAGTTAGTTCTCTTTCAAATGGGGGCAGGGGGGAATTCAACTTCAAACCCTCTTCTGACTTCTCCAGAAAAATAATGCATTTTTAAAAGCCTGCGGCCAAGTTATACAGGAAATAAACGCGACACACAGACCTCGATGGAGAGAACATGGTTTAATTAAAGGCAAAGCTGATTTCAGCAGCTGCAGTTCTTGCACAGACAGACAAAAAACACAAAAAAGCTTACGACACAAACCAGTTTCTGTTGGGGGCCCCTTCCCTCGCTCCCCCGGGCGTCGGAGGGCAGGAGGGGAGTCCCAGCTGAGAGCCAGACGCAATCCCGAGGCCGGACGCTCATGCACAAGTGGAACGGTGCGGCTGGGACCCCGGCGCTGCCGGGAACGAGATGGCGAACCTGGTTAGCTCGTCTAGGGTGCAAGAGTCAGTGACGCTTCAAACACTGGAATGTCGCAGCTGCCTGGGCGCACAGCTCGATACGCAAACCGGGAGGGCTGGAGGGAAGTACAGAGGGGTTTGGTTCATACTACCACTGGGTGGGAACTTCACTTTTTGGACTTTTTAAAGCAAATACAGCTTTGAAATGCAACAAAGAACAGTGATGTTGCTAAAGTGGAGATCGTGGGGGAGCTGCTCGTACCCCCGGAGGGGTATCGTGTCTCCTCCGTCTTCCCTTTTCGTGTTCTTTGGGACTGCCCAGACTCCAGTGTCACTTCGGCTCCTGCATGTGCTTTGCTCTGCAGCTGACTTCCAGCTGAGAGATCCTGAATCATCACACAAACCCCTACTGCTAAACACAGCAAATGGACATTGAGATTGTTTCTGTAACTTCCCTGGGAAAACTAACAAAAATGCTGTCCTTTTCGTTAACGAAGCTTCCAGTCATCCTTCCCCCTAATAAATTAGCAAATAAAACGTTTTCCTTTTCCCTTCTGCACTTTTTCAGCTAGGAACAGCACTATGCTTTCTTCCGTGTGTGGGTCACACACACGGGTGTCCACGGGTGCCTTGGATTTCATTCTGGAACTGAAAGGTTGGGGCTGCAGCTGGGGACAGGGAGCGCGGGGGGGACGGGTTTCTGCAGAGCTCACGAGTGCCTGAGGGGGTGTGTACACCCCGCACTGTCCAGGCCGACTGTCGTCTTTACCCAGCCCTGCTGGACCCCTGATTATTTTCTGCGAGATGTTGCACATTGGTAATGAAACTACTAGCGTCCAGCGAAGATGGGAGGATGGAGAGGAAAGGAAAAAAAAAAAAAAACCCAAACAAAAACCATTGAAAGCTTTCTACCTACCTATTAAAATGAGTCAGGCTGTGAATGCACAGACTAGCCTGCCCTTTGTGGGGCTAGCCACTATGCTACAGTAAAATGTACAGGAATCAAACATTAATTTAAAACCCCATAGCAGTTATCTTGCTTGTCCAGCAGAGTGCTGCGATGCCCCACGTCACCGATTATAGCTCAAACACCTACTGAGAGGAGGGCATTTCATGCTGGAGTCTCTAACCCACCCAGGGGCTGGCCAAAGCCTTCGGGTGAAAGGTGAAGTGGTGTCAAGTGCCAGACTCTCCTTCATGAAACTCCTTCGCTAGCCCAGGAGATAGAGCCCCACCTCACCACCAACCACCTCGGACCGGAGCAGCAACTGGGGCTTTCATTGCTACACACTGACTACAAAGCACGTCTGTGTACTGAAGAATTCAGTGTGACCTTACTACTGAGATAGTAATAAAGATGTTTAGGAGTAATTTCAACTACATTCTCAGTCAGCAAAGCAATCATTAATGGATGCCTATTTTATCTCCCCAAAGAGAGGAAAAGGATTGAGAAGTTCTCATTGGCTTCTCCCATCTGCCCTTCATTCTCAGCTTTTACTTCCCATGTGGCTGGGGACATGCACGATGGAGAAGGTGAGAGGCGGTGATTTCAGGTTACTGAGCGAGACAAACAGCAGTTCCTCTCTCCCTCTAGAGGGCCCAGGGATGGGAGAGTTCCTGATGGTGTTTTCTTGCACTGCAGACGTTTTGTGCACACTCAGTGGGTTGGTGGAGCACTTACGCCCTCCTGACGGCAAGGAACAGAAGAGAGGGCTGCCACCTGCACAGGACTGTGTGGGCCAGTCCTGCAAACCCAACATGCCATGGTGTATGGAGCCTTCGTTTGCAAGGGTTGCCACCTCTGTCTCAATGCGGCGGGTTCATGGTGCCTTGTCCGCGCTGCTGCTTCTGCTTCTGCTGCATGAGCAGCTGCTCCAGGGCTGAGGGTCCAGGGTGCATCATGGAACTGGACCAGATGGACTAAAAACAAACAGCCAACACTAGCACCTCCTTGCGTTAGACAGCCCCCCTCTTACAGATGAGAAAGCGGAGACAGTTTTCTATATTCTCCCTCTTCTCTTTATCACTCATACCTGGCTTATCATGAGAGTTATCCGGACTTCAAAGGCGGCCTTCTAAAGAGAGGCTCCCTGACAGAAGCTTATCCTCCTCCAGAATCCTCATTACCATAAAAATTCATCCCACATTAATGATTACTAATTTTAGACTAGTCAAAGCAAACGTTATAGTTTCTTCCAGTTCTGCCAGCCTGGTCCTGTTCCGCAAAATATTCTAGAACAGCGAGAACTGGAAGAGTCACATCTTCCAGCACGGGTCACACCTCCCGCACTGCCTGCGTAAGCGTATCTGCAGGAGAAACCTTCGGTTTCTGACACTGAACTCTGATGCTTTGCAACAGGCTAAAGCCCATCGCCAGATCTTCCAGCCCCAAACACAAGCACCCATTCCTGAGCTCAGTTTCAGTTAAACATACCTTCAGGCTCTCCATAAGCACAGCTGAGGAGTCCTCCATAGCAGGGGGGCCTTGGGCTGCCCAGGTGCCACTGGGAGCGCTGGACTGGTGCCAGCTGCTCTCCGATGATGATGATGTTGCTGGGAGATAGTCCAGACCGAACCCTCCCATTGCTAAAATGGGAGAAAAGAAATTCAAAGGAACGTAGCAAAACCACTGCCAAACAAACGCCATCAAGCTGGCTTCACACGAGCACGGAACCCCGCACTCGCCTGGCTTATCTGTTTTCCAGCGGTCTGCGACTCTCCTGTCTCTGTTGTCTGGAGTCCCAATAGGTCCAAAGTTGGAGAAAGGAACAGAATTGTGGTTATGGGTTGGAGGGGAGCTTGGCAAGCTGCTGGGGTTGGAGGAGTGAGGAGACTGGCTGGCTGGTGTCGAATGATCTAGTGATTACAAGGCAAGAGGAAAAAGGTCAAGAGAAACGGCAGGAGCCTCCAGATTTTTAATTTCTTAGTGCAGCAGCAAATTCTGCCATCACCCAGTTTTCTCCAGTGCTGAAGGACAGTTTCTACTCCCTCCACTACACGAGCGTAAAGCAAATTCCTAAGTTCTGAGTGAAAATTTTTGTGTGTATACAAGCACAGAATGACTGTTTAATGCTTACCAGAAAACCAAAAAGAAAGAAATCTCAAGAGGGCTGGCTAGCCAAAGCGAATTTTCCCCATGTTTCGTGAATAACTTTTCTCAAACTAAAAAAAAAATTAATTTTATGGCTCCAAGCTTGGCAAGCCAATAAAAAAAAAAAAAAAGACTTTAAACCTCGAGGACTTCGCAAGTTTATGACTTGAACTCCCAAGTCTGTGAATGTTTTACATTTCTATGAGTCTTAAAGGAATTCAAACCAGAACCCAATACTGAGCAAAGGAGAGTGAGCATGGAAAAACCTGTCTGCGGGCAGGAGAGAACGATGCCCGAAGACAACACAGCATAGCAGGGTGGCAGGAGACTATGTGGTCTCGAATGAAGAAGTGAAGGGAGAGAAAGCTGAAACTGTGTGAGCCATAAATCCTGCTAGAATAAAAGCACTTTCCTTCCTTTTCACCCACACTGGTTATTCCTGGTCGGTTACAAAAATTTGAGTGTGACCAAAAATCTCATCCATTTCAGATGCTATTTAAAATCCACTCATTTCTTAGATTCAAGTAATTCCTCCCCTCACGCTCTTCTGGATTTTTAGTGAGACCAAAATCATAACATCATAGTGATGTTTTATGCCTCTAAGATAATTACTAAGGAAGAACATAGTTTGCTTTGTAGGCTGCTTCACAGCCTACAAAAACCCAAACACACCAAAAAACCACAACCAAACAACTGTCATTTTCCTCCACACTTTTCAGCCATTATGGTTTCTTTCTCTTTCAAATATCTACATTATGAAATCCAGTTCTTCCCGCTTTTTCCAAAGAAGCTACACTGAAAGTATACGGATGTTTGAGTTAAAGTTCCACTCCCAAATGCTTGTCAGTTAGACAGATTTCAGGACTTAACACCACCTACAACTTTTATCCTGCTCAACTACTTCAATTAAAATCTAGGTTCTTACGCTATATTAATTACAGAATCCCCTCATATTTCTGAGGATGTGTAAAGAAAACCAGAAACCTTCAGACATTGTCAAGCAGGTGTTTTTTAATTTCCAGTTACATTTAACTTGCAGTAGGTTCAGAATTAACTCAAATCCTCTTTAATCACTATACACAAGAAAAATCATACCAGGATTACCTGAGCTGGCTGGAAGGGATGGAGACCACGGAGTCCCCTCAAAGAGAGAATATAGTGAAGTCTCCTGATGGGCAACTGAAGGGGTGACTTCTGTTTTTGTGCTGGTATTCACATTTTTCCCATATACCTCATTGAACATGCTGTTGTTTGGATATCTTTCCTAAAAAAAACAAGCAAACAAAAAAAAAAAATCAATGTAAAAGTTTAGGTATTGGATTTATTTCAAACACTGAGACTGTACAAAGGATTAACAATTATAGATCAAAATATTTTCCTTTTTAAAACTCCTTTTTCACTTCCCAGCCCCGTATTCTTTGACCATTTTATTTAACATAAAGTCCATCACATTCTGAATCAGAACAGATTTCCCCTGGCTGCACTGCAAAGCCTTCAAAAAAATCTTTAAATTCCCAATACTCATGAAAAGTGGATCAAGACCCTGCTCAGCTCTTTGGAAAAGAAGGGGTAATCCATTGCTCAGGAATAAAAACCTACACACCATAACACTTTGAGATGCACCTTTTCAGTCAACTCCATGATTCCACTTAGGGCAAGCGGCCCATGAACGTGGCAAGGTTCAGAAGTACATCAGCAGAACTATAGCTAGGATGAATTTAGTGGGAAGACAACTGAAAAAGGCAAAGATAATCTTGCTGATGCAGACCAAAATTAGGCACCTGGGTTTCTTTCAGTTTGGCCATTTGTTTGAACTAAAGGGTATCATCATATTTCTGCCACATTACTTAGTTTAACGGCAAGCTTGAATAGCAAAGGGCTGCAGACTTTGGTCCTCGCTTACCTGATTAAGAGAAAAGCCACTGAGGGACAGGAA